AATTCTACATAAATATCTGAGTTTAGAGGTGACTTCGCAATAGATCAGAAGATGATATACATCCTTCCAAGTCTCATTAAGCGAGAACCACCGCCTAAAGTCTATCCTTTTTTTTTTTAAATTTTTTGTTTTTGCAGCCAAGGATAGTAGTCCAGGCTTTTATAGAATAACCAAGTCATTTAAGTTCTGAGTTTCGTCAACCACTCCTCAGCAAGAAATAAATGTTTGTTTATGGGCCATGATATGTTTTGTAGTTGCAATGATGCTCTTTGAAAATTAGAGCGACACACTTCCAGAATAGCTTTTTCTTTCTGCAACCTTTTCAGTTTATGTGATATTTATGGGTACTCTTATAAAATTTTGTAAAAAGTGCGAACAAATCTAACAGGTTACTTGCCCAAAAATGTGAACTCAGAATGCATCTCCCTCCCTCTCTTCTCTCTCTCTTGTTACTGTTTATTTCTGCTTAACTTCTCTTTAAATGTCGTTTGCTCGTCTTATTACTCATATACGGATACAGGATGCAACATGAGTTGGAGGTGACTACAAAACAGGCCATCTTTGTGGATTCAAGTATAAGTGATACAATTCGTACATGCATTGTGCTGGGGAACCATCGTGCTGCCGCAAAAGTCAAAACAGAATTTAAGGTCTCTACCTTCTCGTTTGGCTCACAGTGACGATATATTTCTATTCTCTCTTTTATTAGTGATTTCTGTACCCTCTTTTTAAGTACATGTGGGTTAAACTTTTGGCTTTATTCAATTTAAAGTGCCCTTGATTATAATTTTCTTGGATGATTCAGGTTTCGGAAAAGCGATGGTATTGGCTCAAAGTTTTTGCTCTGGCAACTATTAGGGATTGGGATGCCTTGGAGAAGTTTTCAAAGGAGAAAAGGCCACCAATTGGTAAGTTTCCTCAGTAGCTTAACAGGAAGGGATCTGTGAGTCTGTGACTTTCCCTATTATTTCAATTAAATATTTCTATATGCATTTTCACTGTGGTATTTGTATTATAATCGAGATATTATTAATTTTAACTTATCTTCTCTTTATTGTTGTGATAAATTGTATTTAGGAAATTGATAGTTTAATTCAAATAGGTTTACAATGGTTTTACATTTCAAGGAGCAGGAAATTAGGTTGAAAGTTCACACTTGAATTAGAAAATGTCATATGTACGTTATGTCACCTGATCTGGGAGTTTCTGCAATTGTGCCCTACACATTAATAGAGGTTCACTATACACCATAAGGCATCTGCAGAGGTGGCTTATCCCTATATGACTGCTGTATGTACTGCTGCTCTTTTTGATATCTTCAATTTTTTTTCTTTTTAAGTATTAACCCCTCCTTTATGGCAGTGCCCTCCATGACCATAACAACAACAAACCCAGTGAAATCCCACAAGTGGGGTCTGGGGAGGGTAAAGTATACGCAGACCTTACCCCTACCTTATGACGGTAGAGAGGTTGTTTCTGGAAGATCCTCTTCTGTAGAGTGCCCTCCATGACCATACCTAATGTAATAGCTACAGGCTTGGCTAGCTTAGTTCTTGAGGCTGAATAAGTTAATTTCTGTAATTAACTACACTTAATTGCTTGGTTGATCATGTTTCTTGGTTAAACTAGGTTTGTTGTAGCCATGTTGAACTAGCTCTCTTCTCTTGTAGCCATGTGAAATGTATTTCTGCTTCTTGTGACTGCCAGTGAAAGGGGCACCGTGGACATGTTTGTAGATAGCATTCCAAGTAGTCCTTTGTGACCATATATTACATGCTAATGAAGGGTAATGGATCTCTTATAGTCATCCCTTTTTCTCTTTTTTCTCTTCTAGGTTACCGCCCATTTGTCGAGGCATGTGTTGATGCAGATGAGAAAGGTGAAGCGCTAAAGTACATACCAAAGCTGACTGATCCTCGCGAAAGAGCAGAGGTAATATTTTATATGTTCTGAGATTTCCTACATTTGGTCTATAGACATGTTAAACATATCACATAGTCTCACGTAGTTTAAGTTTGAGTTTTGAACTTTACCCACATTTGGTCATTATCGGCTGAGTTTTGAAGTCGAAACCAACAGATGTTTCGACTAATATAAAAGGAAGTACTTTTGTCTGATCGTTGCAAAAAGCTAGTATGAGACAGATTCAGATATCAGAATGGGTTTACCAAGATATGCATTGTTTTTTAAAACATAGGGAGTTGCGTGAGCTTATTTCAATCAACAGGGCGGTAGCGATAATGAAGAGAGAATGATTACTCCATTCACTCTTTAACATAGACCACCTGGTTGATTTGAGTGCATGTAGTGTCATAAATGCATTTCCCACCTCAACACCCAGTTCTTCCATGAAAAAGGAAGAGAGGAGAATGAATTGATGATGAGGGTGAAAAGATGTTGGGTTACATAATCAACAGTAAAGATGCATTTGCTGCATCAATTAAAGTGATTTTTCTTGCTTATGGGATCTGTGAATTCATTAACAGGCTTATGCCCGAATTGGAATGGCCAAGGAAGCTGCCGATGCTGCTTCTCAGGCTAAAGATAATGAATTACTTGGGAGGTTGAAGCAGACTTTTGCTCAAAATGCAGCAGCTTCATCAATTTTTGACACACTGCGAGACCGGTTATCCTTCCCAAGTGTTTCTTGATGCCGGCCATCTCTTAGCTGCCTTTGGTGTGAGCCTGTTGTTGTTATGACTCTTCCAAATTAACATTGATTGAGGATTGATAGCGTTGGAGTGATGCTGTTCCACAGCACGATAAAAGAAGCCCTTGGAACCCATACGCCGCTGCATGCCCTCTCTCCTTGCCTTTTTTTTCTTCTATATATCTATAGCGTTTGAGGTTGTGGAAGTGTTTGAATCCGGCAAAGATTCCTCATGTTCTAGATCCTGTGAGTAGCTTGGCTGGAAACGATATATGAAAGCATGTGCTGATGTTTCTCCCTGAATTGGTAACAGAATTCGTTTGAGCTCTCTAATATTTCCATGGTATGTAGTTTCCATTTCTATGTGTCTTGAGTCATCCTCAGTGGATGTTCGAAAATAAACTGACTCCACCAGCTCGCTGGTAATGTTTTGCTTGTTTTTCCAACTCGTTTGGACTCTTGTTTCTATCCTATGTACATCACAGGATACCTTGCTGGTTCGAGTACATACTTGAGAACTAGTGATTGGGAAATCGTGGGAATTTTAGATTTGCTGTTCTTATCTCTATTTTCATGTGATGGATACTCATATTGTGCTTGTTTGTCTGTACGGAACGATTTAATGAGCATCTAATTTCTCTGTTTTACTTGGTGTATTTTGACACTTCATTTCTCATAACATCTAGATAGTCCAGCTCAATACAAGTTCGTTGCGTATTAGGTTGATCGCGTATGTGAAGTGCTTGAAAAATATACGTTGAAAGTACCAGAGCTAGACCAAGGTTTGATGGTAATCTTGGCCTTTGCCATAGGAAAACCCCCGTGTTAATTGAAGTATCATACAAAAACAAGATTTTACAGCTAACTGGTATTTCAATACAACATTTTTGAAATGTCAATACGATTGGTTCTGTTAAATCGATTCTCTAGCAATCCTTTTATATTGTCAGAAATGGCTTAGATAATTCGTGTCACAATTGAAGACAGCAAATTGTTACTCTAGCGAAATATGAAATGACCAATATGGGGGTGGGGGAATACTATATCTGTTTTCAATCTATTTTCTTGTATGAGCCTTTGGAAATTAGAGGTAATTTGCTTTGCAATAATCCATATTTATTATGCAAGTTCTTTTCTTTTTTTCACCTATTATGCTTGTTCTAATCCATTTGCACGTACAACATTCCACTTTATTTTTGTCCGTTTCCACTTGGAAAACAGAATGAAGTCGAACTTTGAGTATTACGGGTAATTAGATACAGTATATATTCGGCCTAAAGCTTTTGCTAGTAATTAAATTTCAAACTTGAAGAAGTCAAACATGTTGGTTGTCAGTTCTAATTAGTCCCGATTTATCTGGCGGATGTCGAATTTTGATATTTAAACTTCTTAATTTAAATCGTGAATTTAGACATAATTTTTTTAAAGTTTTATGAAACAAAATCTATATATTTGGAAACTACATAAAAAATATTATATGTTACAATAATAAACAATTTGAAATATATCCAAAAGACAAAAAATTTGTGGTTAAAGAAAAACTTGTTTAACTCTCAGAATTAGAACTGCGCCACCTAAATTGTTAAGGAAGGAGTAGTATTTATGTTCCACACAAGTGATGACTAGGGCAAATAAAGAAAACAAGTGATGACTAGCCTGTAGTTTTATCACGACTTCAAGGAAGCAAACATAATAAATTCAGTGGGTATTAAACGTCAAAGACTTGAAAGAATACAAAGCGTTTACTGACTCGAACTCTGAACAAGACACGGTGCGGGAGTTTGGTCTTTAAGTCAGAATGTCCCTACTCTCGACTCTAACTGATACTAACGTTGAATAGTTTGACTTGCTTGACTTATTATTTGGGCTAATTAAAGATGATCATTTTTGTCATCTTAAGTTTGTGGGGGTTCAAAGTTATACTTTATGTTAATGTATTAAAAATTAATGGTGAGAAACTGAGAATCTCTTCTACAAACAACCATCAACTCTCGAAAAGGTCGTGTACACGAGAAAGTTTAGAAAGAAAAGGACACGAGGGTAAAAAGTATACTCCAACTTTACAAATTAACTACGAGAAGTCAGCATTTGGGGTGGGGGGCTCTTTACAGCTAGGAAGTGTCATATTAGAAATATTTTGCTTCTTTTAATTTCACATACAACTATTTTATTGTCCTGCTAATGAGACAAATTAACATTAGTTAGGAATATTTAACTGATAATATACTAGACAGCGATCATTCAACTTCCTTAATGTAATGTCGTGGCGGCTGTCTAAACATTCCTAGAAAACAAGTAGTATAAGGTTTTTCCACGCTATTTAAGGATAAGGAGAATTAGATCACTCAAAACTTAATTGTAACCACACATCTTCAAGTGTCGAACACGTACACTATTAATTTAGCCTCGCAACCTTGAAGTTTCGAAGACAGTCCAAAACTGAAGTTTTGAGGAACAAGGGAAGATGAAGGTACTATATATTTATAGTGTTTGCGTCCAACACATGCACAACAAAGTTGTAGCTTAATTAGTAGAGTTACTGATAATTTGTTATTTCTATTTTTCTTAATATAATGCAGCAAAAGGTGGTTCTTAATGTGTCTGTCAATGGATGTCAGCCTCGTCCCAGTCTGAAGAAGTTTGTTTTAGGTTGTTTGGTACCTTTCCTGGTTCAAGAAGCTGCTACATGCAAAAATAAAGTCATGTCCATTGCAACAACTTTATCAGGTAACTAATTAACAACATTATTGGGCTCTTTAGCACCAAAAGCATAGTAAAACCTTAAACTTTTCTCATGTACATGCTGAGCATTTAGTTAGCTAAAACTAATAAGTAGTAATATGGGCTTCGTATTGTCAAGAGTGTGACCAGCTGATCATCTAAATTCTTAAGATGTTAAGACAGGCACATTTATTTATGGAAAAAAGGGTCAAATATACCTAAGTAATTTCGAAAAATATGTAAATATATCCTTCGTTATACTATGAGTCCAAATATACCTTGTCGTTATACTTTGAGTTCAAATAT